ATGCAGGTGAACGGTTAGGAGCCAGTGGTCCCAGATTGCGAGAGGAATGTAACCGGAGTCAGATATCCCCCGAGGGGTCCCACATTAGAGAGGGTGCAGGCCGGGCTTAGGGACGCACCCCCCACCATGCACTAGTAAGCCTACTGATTACTACTACATTACATATATATATGTATTACTTATATATAATGATATAAAACGTGCACCTAAAACTAATACAGGTTAATATATCAATCATATCTCAAACTGGAAATGACAACTAAAGAAATTCCCAACATTTTAAATAACTTTGTAAAAACTAATCTTTTTCACATATTCAAGTGTCACAAATAGTGTTGCCTGATTTTTTAAAATCTTGACTCATAGTTGGTTAAAGAACATGTTTTATTAATTTAATTATGGAAGTTTTAAAATGAAAACATACATCAGTAATGACTGTTGAGGTGGTGAGAAGTGATCATGTTTTATAAGTATTTATTTACTTATTTTTAATCCTCAGCTGAGGATATTTTTCCATTGATTTTTAGAGAGAGTGGAATAGAGAGGGAAAGACAGAGAGAAGTACCAGTGTGAGAGAAACACATTGGTTGCCTCTGCACACACCCCAACCAGGGCCCAGGTCAGGGAGGAGCCTGCAACCAAGATGTGCCCTTGACCAGAATCGAAACTAGGACCCTTCAGTTCACAGGCTGATGCTCCATCTATTGAGCCAAACTGGCTAGGGCAGTTTTATAAGTCCTAAAGAGAAAGGTGAGAGGATTTTGTAATGATGTAGAATTGAGTTTTGAGGTAGGGGGAGAGGGGAAGGGGGAATGAAGGATTATTTCAAGATATTTTGTCGGAGCTCTAGAAATTACCATCAATTGAGAGGTCAAGTGGAGGCAGTCAGATGGAGTGTGGAAATTAAAAGTTCACTTTTATGATGCTGTATTTGAGATTTTTGGTCATCCAAGAGCCAATTGGACATATGATCTGAAGTGAAGAGGGAGGCTCTAGCTAGAGATATAATGTAACATTAGGATATAGCCATGAAACCTCAAATAACCAATATTTACAGATCAGTAAAAGGGGTCTGGGTCTGGTCAATGAGATACAAGAATAATGAAAACTGCCTTATGACCTGTAAGTTAGGTTTAAATATTGTACCCACGAAGCAATAATCAAGGCTGTCAAATAATACTTGTGGGTCATGGAAGATGAGGACTGATAATTAACCTTTAGAGCTCGTATCAGGATCTTGATAAAAGCACGGTTAGAGCCACACAGGAAAACCTGATTGGTGTGAGTGTGAAAGAATGGGAGGACAGCTGTGCCAAGTGGAGCAAAGAAATGGGAGCATTTCTGATATGACGGAAATGCCTGTCATTAGAGGATGAAGAAGGCCAAAGAGGGCATGCTAGGATTAGTCTCTATGGGTTCTAGAGTCTTCTGTACGGGCTTGCTTTTACCATGAATTTTTATCTTCCTGTTTGTATGAATAATTGTGTTAGCCGTTTAAATATATTCTAAGTAGCTGATTGGACTGTACTTCTGCTCTAATGATCATGTGAGTTTTTCATTAAAATTAAGAAAGTGGCTTTCAAAATGGGATAGCTAGAGGGCACAGGCCAAGACGAGGGACCCCACTGGTGCATGATTGGGGCTGGGGAGAGACCACGGGAGGGCTTCAGGACGTTTCTGGCCCGTCTCGCCCAGTCCCGATTGGCTGGACCCCAGCAGCAAGTTAACTTACTGGTTGGAGCATCTGCCCCCTGGTGGTCGGTGCATGTTATAGCGACTGGTCAAATGGTTGAACGTATGGTCTGACACTTAGCATATTAGGCTTTTATTATGTAGGATTGTTTTAAAAATAACATATTTTAGGTGGAGAAATGAAATATTTCTTTATATAAACTTATTTTTTTCCTTCAGTTTTGTCAAAGCAACATGCTTCACAATTTCTGGTTAGGAAACGCCGAGCAAATCATCCCTTTGAAGAAGTCAAACCGGGTAATCTTGAAAGAGAGTGCATCGAAGAACTGTGCAGTAAAGAAGAAGCCAGGGAGATCTTTGAAAATTACCCTGAAACGGTAAGAGCTCATGACAATTAACGTTAGCACAGCTAGTCATACAATTATAGACAGAACAGTTCCAGCTTGAGTCTGTGTTCCTCTGTGTTCCTTTTTAATGTTAAGTGATTGTGTATATATCATATTTCACATGTAACCATTGAAGTATTTCAGAAGGAAATACCTTCAAAGGAAGATGGACTAGTCAGGAAGACACTATTGCCAAAAGCAATGTGCTCTAACCAATCTATAATTTAATTATAAATTAAGTACTATCAGCAAATAGTATCAACCTCATGGTTTGTAAATACTTTCTTCCAACCATAACTTGGTAATATGGGGTAGGGAGGGAAGACATCTTAAATATAATGTGTGTGCATGTTTGTGTGCACATATATACAGACATGGGTGGGTACCAACATGTGATTGCATTGTTATCACTATACTTAATTAAATACCTCCAGGCCTTTTTAACCAGCCTTTAATCTAGAGCTTGGTACATAATAGGTACTCTGTGAATCCTTACTGAAGAATTCACTCAGGCCCTAGCCGGTTTGGCTCGGCCTGTGGACTGAAGGGTCCCAGGTTCAATTCCGGTCAAGAGCATGTACTTTGGTTGTGGGCACATCTCCAGTGGAGGTTGTGCAGGAGGCAGCCGATCGATGTTTCTCTCTCATTGATGTTTCTAACTCTCTGCCTCTCTCCCTTCCTCTCTGTAAAAAATCAATAAAATATATTTAAAAAAGAAAAAAAAAATAATTCTCTCAGCACTGTATTTCCTGAGTATATTTTGATTTATTCCATGAATCCTTGAGAACTTTCCTGAGCCATTTTATATCATCAGTCATTCCTAGGGTTAGAATTTACATCTATTTACATCTTAGTGTATTAATTTTTCCAAGTTAGTTTACAAAAATCTAACCATAAACATCCCTAAATATGCAGAAATACAACCTTATCTTTAGTCCTCTTATTTCTCAGGCCAGGATATTCTCCAAAATATACTTCAGGTGGCAGTATAAATAGTGCCTCTAAGAATTCAAGTTTGATAACCTTCATGGTCACCTCAGATATTTTCTTTTCTGAGATGAACTATATAACCAAAAGGAAATGAGGAAGAACATATATACAAAGGCCCTCCTTTACCTCTCCCATGGCTCTTAGGACCATGAGATAACGAGGAAGAATCATCTCTATAGTGGGAGAACTTGTCCAAGACAGTAATAAGTTGTGTTCTCTTTAATTCTTTTACCTCCACCTACCTTTATAGGTTCAAAAGGAATTTTTTCCAAGGTACCTAAAGATTCATTTTTAATACCCTCTGTGATTGAAGCAAAATGTTTCTCTTAATTCTGTTGCTTTTGTGGATAAGCACTTGGCAAGAGAAAAATATTTTCTTCCACACAATATACAGAGTATTCTTATTTTTTAGGAAGTAGATACACACACCTTTATTTTTATTATAGAAATTTAAAATATATACCAAAATACAGAGAACAATATAATAAACCCCAATATACCTTCCCTTCACTTCAACAATGATCAGTAATCTACCATACTTGTTTTACCCGTTTTCTACTATGCCCACTCTAATTTTGTTTTGTTTGCTGGAACGTTTTAAAGCAAGTGTGCATGGCTGAGATATCATACTGTATCACTCATACATAAATACTTGATTATGATAGCATCTGAGTAGCAAATAGGGAGTGAGGCCAAAGACCATAATGGAGCGAAGGGAAGATAGTAGGGAAGGGAACTCATGAATGTTTTCTCTCTCCACTCATTCTGATGGCGGTCTCTTTGACAAAAGAGAAAGATATGACAGACAAAAGAAGAAATGGGAGAAGTAAAAGGAAAGGAAAAACATATGTTACTGCTTCTCACTTCCATCCTGCCTCATCCACTCACTGTCCACTTCCCTAATACCCTAATTCACGTTCCCAACCTCTACCCCATTGTTTACCTCCCCATTATCCCTAACACATTCCTTCCAGCCATCACATAATCTCCCTTTGAACCCATTCATTGCAGCTTATCCTCCTGGCTTCTGTTCTGTAGAAGGCACTGCTGTCTGAAACACTTGATGGGAGATCCTGTCCTTAGAAGCTAGTAGATGTGTTGTGTAGGTTTCTATGTGAGAGAAAGAAACAGTGAAGACTTTGACTCTGTGTTGGATGAAGTTATCATTTGCACTTCATTATGTTTTTGTGTAGAAACTGGTTCCTCATGGGATGTTCTTGTGCTTCTAATGTTACACATTAGATATATTATGGCTTAAGAAGGCTTTTGTGAACTAGCCTGAGAACCTTACCATTAGAAATCATTTTTAAAAGTTATCGTTTGCACTTCATTATGTTTTTGTGTAGAAACACTGGCTCCTCATGGGGTGTTCTTGTGCTTCTAATGTTACACATTGGATATATTATGGCTTAAGAAGGCTTTTGTGAACCAGCCTGAGAACCTTACCATTAGAAATCATTTTTAAAATTTTCTCTCTCGGGTGAAGTATATTTCTTAGTCCAAATTACTGATTTACAGACAAACTTTTGGTACATAGCCAATTAAAAAGTAAGGTATTACTTGTACTCACGATGCTAAAAGATAAATGTCCACTTCAATTCAGTTCAGATGATGTCAGTGTTATTCAGCATTAGATCTGGTTTGTGTAATTGGCATGGCATGAAATGTGTCAAATGGTTATCTGACCTCTATGGGAAAAATAAAGGATTTACAAAAA